TAAAAATAAAATAGTTTGAGATTGGCAGTGTTCCATGGCCTTGGAATGGCTTTGCCGTCCTTATCTTCCAGGTGGTATGCCCATTTGCCAGCTAATCCGATCACTTTGTAAGGTCCTTTCCAATTTGGCCCTAACTTGCCATCTCCTGGTATCAAGGTGTTTCCCATCACTTTGCGCAGTACCCAATCTCCGATCTTGAATTGTCTTAAATGCACTGTTTTGTTGTATTTCCTGGATAACTCTTGTTGGTATGAGGCAATGTGAACCAGTGCTCTTTCTCTTCTTTCTTCCGCAAGGTCGAGCTCCAATGCTATGGCTTCTCCATTCAAGTCTGGATCAAAATTTTCGCTTCTAATTGTGTGGAGGCCAACTTCGAGTGGGATTACTGCTTCCATACCATAGGCTAAGGAGAATGGAGCTTCTCCTGTTGACCGTCGTGGTGTGGTGCGGTAAGCCCATAAAACATGAGGGAGTTCCTCCGCCCACTTGCCTTTGGCTTTTTCTAACCGTTTCTTCAGTCCATCAAATACTACCTTGTTTGATGCTTCTGCCTGACCATTTGCTTGGGGATATGCCAGTGTGGAATTGTAGAACTCTATCTTATATTCTTCACAAAAGCTTCTAAAAATTTTGCCGTCGAACTGAGTGCCGTTGTCTGATATGAGGGCTTTAGGTATGCCGAATCGTGTAATGATATTTTGCCAGACGAACTTCTTCACATCTTTTTCCTTGATTGATGCCAATGCTTCTGCTTCCACCCACTTTGTGAAGTAGTCTGTTGCTGCGAGAAAGAACTTTCTGTTTCCGGGTGCCGTTGGAAGTGGTCCTACTATGTCCAAGCCCTACATTGCAAAGGGCCATGGGCTGGTCAATGGTAGGAGTTCTCTGGCCGGATGATGTATTTGATGTGCGAACTTCTGACATTTCTCGCATTTTTTCACATACTTCTCTGAGTCAGCTTGCATGTATGGCCACCAGTATCCTTGCGAAATGGCTCTGTAAGCTAACGATCTTCCTCCTTGGTGGCTTTCGTACACCTCTTCATGTATTTCGAACAAGAATGCTTCCACCTTACTGGGGTGAACACACTTTAGATAGGGTCCTGAGAACGATTTTTTGTATAATGCCATGGATGGAGAGAGCCAAAATCGCTGCGACTTTGCTCGAATTTTGTTGGCTTCTTTCTTTTCTTCCAGTAAGATGCCGTCTTTTAAGAACAGTATAATGAGATCTATCCATGAGGGGCCTAATTCAGCGCAACATACCTCTTCTGCTTCGGGGTCTTCAATGCTTGGTCTTGGTAAGAAGTCGATGAGCAACGGATGAGGGATGGAAGTATCTGCCATTAAAGCGAAGCCTGCTAGTTCGTCTGCTCTGTTGTTTTCCTCCCTGCCAATCTGTTATATCCTCACTACTTCAAATTTCTTGATCTTTGTTCTGACCAATTCTTGGTACTTGGCCATCCTATCATCCTTTACTTCATAGTCGCCAGAAATTTGGTTTACCACCAGCTGTGAGTCGTTGTAGACCATTAATTCGGTGGCCTTTATGTAGTATGCTGATTTGAGTCCTGCAAGAAGTGCTTCATATTCCGCTTCGTTGTTTGATACTGGGAAGCCAAGGTTGATTGCTTGCTCTACAACCAGGCCGTCTGATGAGATGAGGACTATGCCAAGTCCTGCACCATGCCGGTTGGATGCTCCATCCACAAAGAGCTTCCACATCTCACCAACGAACAACTTCCAGCAAGTGGAGGGGTCGGATGATGTCGTGGGGCCAAGAATGTTGCCGGTGTTTTCTTCAAGGTCCATGCTTGTTGTCTGCCCCTCGCTATCTGATTGTACCAAGTCTTTATTTGTTGGTGATCTTGGTTTGCTTATTCCTTGCTGTCTTTAGTCTGGTCTGCCTTGGAGTCTGACTGAGCACCTTCTGCTAGGGGTTGCGCTATTCCGGCGTCAACTTCTATCCCTAGTTCGGTTGTGTCAGTTAGGTCGACTGGGCAGATATGATGACTTCCAGGAGTAAACTCTGCGACGAAGTCTGCAAAAGATTGGGCCTTTACTGCGGTTCTAGGTTGGAACTTGACGTCGAATTGTCCCAACTCTACTGCCCACTTCAAGATTCGCCCAGAAAAGTTCGTCCTCTCAAACAAAGCTTTTAATAGGAAAGCTGTGAGGACAACTATGGTGTGGGTGTGAAAGTAGTGTGCCAATTTCCTGGAGGCCATCATTAAGGCTAATGCCAGTTTTTCCAGTGGTAAATACCTTGTTTCGGCTCCCAGCAATGTCTTGCTGACATAATAGATGGGCAGATGTTGAATTCCGTCCGCACGGACCAACACTGCGCTAATTGCGTGCTGAGAGACTGCCAGGTACAAGAAGAGTTCTTCTCTAGGTATTGGGGTGACCAGCAATGGTGGAGAAGACATGTATTCTTTCAAGCTTTCCAGAGCTTGGTCGCATTCTTCGTCCCATTCGAACTTGGCTTTTAAAGCTTGAAAGAATGGTCGTAGTCTGTCTGACGACCGGCTTATGAACCGATTGAGCGCGGCTGCCATGCCGGTGAGATGCTGCATTTCTTTCACTGAGTTTGGTCTCTCCAAATCCTAAATTGCTTTGATTTGGGAGGGGTCCGCTTCTATACCCCGGTTGGTCACAAGGAAGCCTAGGAATTTGCCAGATCCTACTCCGAATGCACACTTGGATGCATTTTGGCGCAGCTTGTGCTTCTTCAGGATCTCAAACATCTCGCCTAGGTCCTTGAGATGGTCATTCTCATCCTTGCTCTTGACCACCATGTCGTCGATGTAAGCCTCCATTGTTCTGCCTAACAATGGTTCAAACATCTTGGTGACCACCGTTGGAATGTTGCCCCTGAGTTTTTTAGGCCAAAGGGCATGACCTTGTAACAGTATAGTCCTCTTGGAGTTGTAAAGAATGTGACCTCCTGGTCTGGTTCATGCATAGCGATTTGATGGTAGCCTCTGTATGCATCCAGAAAGCTGAGTCGGCTGTGCCCCGCCGTTAGGTCTACCAGTTGATCTATCTGCGGTAGAGGAAAACTATCTTTTGGACATGCCTTGTTGACTGTTTTATAGTCGACGCAGACACGCCACTTGCCATTCTTCTTTGGCACTACGACTGTGTTGAAGATCCATCTTGGGTAGTGCACTTCTCTAATTGCTCCTGCCTCCAGCAGGTTACCTACTTCTTCTGTCACTATCTCGGTATGGTGGAGTATTGATCTGCGTGTGTGTTGGATGACTGGTCTGGTGAATGGGTGGACATTGAGTTGGTGACAGATGAAGTTTGGATCAATGCCTGGCATGTCGTAGGGCGTCCAGGCGAACACTTCGTTGTTAGAGGTTAAGAATTCCAAGACCTCTAATCTCTCAGTGCTGGACAACGACGAACCGAGCAAAAAGAACTTATCCGGGTTCTTTTCATCTATTCTTACCTCTACCAAGTCCTCCACTGCTTTCTGATCAGCCGCTTTGCCGACATCTGCGAATAGCTCGTTGCTCTCAGGTTCTTCCACCGAATGAACGTATCCGTTGGCAGCGCGGCTGCCATTCACCGTGACGAAGCATTGCTTCGACATGATCTAATCTCCATAGACTTCTTCAATTACCCTGGTATCGTTGGGGAACCGCATTACTTGGTGGTAGGATGACGCCACGGATCGCATGGCATGCAGCCATGTTCTACCCAAGATGATGTTGTAAGTGAAGAGGACCTTCAATACCCAGAACTCCACTTGTTTCGTCACGCTTCCTGCTCTGACTGGAAGAATTATTTTGCCGACGGGCCATTTTGGCATGGAGTTGAATCCAATTAGGGGAGATACGGCAGACGCCAATTCTTTGTCTTGCAATTTCAATTGTTTAAATGTTTCGTAGTACATGATTTCACATGAACTACCCTGGTCAATCAGAATCCGCTTGACGTCAAAATCCTTGACTCGGAGAGTGACGACCAGGGCATCATTGTGAGGGCAATATATCCGTTCCAAGTCTTTATCCGAAAAAACATGACGTTTGTGGCCTCTGTCTTCCCCTTCTTGATGGCAGGTTGGGCACTTAGCACCTCTCTTAAGTGTTCAGCCTTTTTGATTAATCCCCTGAGCTCGCATACACGCTCAGGTTCAAAGAC